CCAAGGATCTATAGAATTTAGGATCTATAGAATTTAGGATCTATAGAATTTAGGATCTATAGAATCTAGGATCCATTGCACCTAGGATCTAAGGAACCAAGGATCTATAGAATCTAGGATCCATGGCACCTAGGATCTATATATATATATATATATAATTGTGAACGATTGCGCAGGTGTACGCCGATGGCATAACTACGTTCTCCGTGTACAGAGCGGCCAAATTGTTTGCCTCGATATCTAGCCAGCCCGTGTACTTTTACAAGTTCACGTACAAGTCGCGCTTCAGCTTTCGAATGTGGAACGACACCACGCCGTTTGGTAATACTATTTCATTTTTTATTCAATTAGTAATCGATTCAGAATTGACGAACGCGTCGTTTGTTTGCGTCAGGCGTGTCCCATCAAGACGACCTGCAGTACCTGTTCTTCATGAAGCAACTCTTCCCCTATTTCGAGCCCGACGCACCCGAGATCCCCATGGTGGAGGTTTCTACTTCTATGTGGGCGAGCTTCGCGCGAAACGGCGAGCCCATTCCTAGAAACAACGACAGGTTCGAGGGCGTGACGTGGTCGCCATTCGTGCCATCGCGAACGAACTTCTTGGACGTCGATCCTCAGCCAACCATGGAGAACGTCTTCTTCCCTGAGAGAATGCGTTTGTGGGAACGACTGTTCCCTTTGCCAGGGACGAAGACCAAGAACCGCTAACTAACACTTGGGATCTATGGCACCTAGGATCTATAGAATCGAGGATCCATTGCAACTAGGATCTATAGAATCTAGGATCCATGGCACCTAGAATCTATAGATCCAAAGATCTATAGTCCAAGGATTCTATAGAATCTAGGATCCATTGCACCTAGGATCTAAAGAACCAAGGATCTATAGAATTTAGGATCCATTGCACCTAGGATCTATAGATCCAAGGATCTATAGAATTTAGGATCTATAGAATCTAGGATCCATTGCACCTAGGATCTAAGGAACCAAGGATCCATAGAATCTAGGATCCATGGCACCTAGGATCTATAGATCCAAAGATCTATAGATCCAAAGATCTATAGATCCAAGGATCTATTGAATCTAGGATCTATAGAATCGAGGATCCATTGCACCTAGGATCTATAGAATCTAGGATCTATGGCACCTAGGATCTATAGAATCTAGGATCTATAGAATCGAGGATCCATTGCACCTAGGATCTATAGAATCTAGGATCCATGGCACCTAGGATCTATAAATCTTTGGATCTATAGATCCAAGGATCTATAGAATCTAGGATCTATAGAATCTAGGATCCATTGCACCTAGGATCTAAGGAACCAAGGATCTATGGAATCTAGGATCCATGGCACCTAGGATCTATAGATCCAAAGATCTATACAATCTAAGATCCATTGCACCTAGGATCTAAGGAACCAAGGATCTATAGAATCTAGGGTCCATGGCACCTAGGATCTATAGATCCAAGGATCTATAGAATCTAGGATCCATGGCACCTACGATCTATCGATATATATATATATATATATTTTTTTTTTATTACAACTTGCGTGTATAATTTTTAATAAATTTAAGATTCGTGAGTTGCGTAGCGTTTAATGTTTCCTTTCCATCGAGTCGTAATTTGGAACGCACAACTCCCGGTGTTTTCGAGAAAGACTATGGGGGCGGACGGTGGAGCAGAGCGTAGCGTAGCCGACCACCACGCCGTGAGCCCGGGTTCGAATCCCGGGCCGTTCCGCCCCAGTTTTTTTCTCGAGGTGTTTCGCTAATAAACATATAAAGCATCGAGAGCCTTCGGTGCGAGATATAAATGTAACGGAAAAAGTAAGGATGAGAGAAAGAATCGGATAAATGAAGAAAATACTTGCGAGCGAATCGGACGTGCAGCTCTGTAGCAGCATGAAACAAACGAAGAAGAACGACGAATAATTTACGAAGCAATCGTAACTCGTTCAAGTAAGTCACAGTGGGTGATTGACGAAAAGTGGTATTTCGAGACAAATCAACCCTTGGACAAAAAGGGTGGAGGCATGGCGAGAGGCAGAATTCGTGATGAAATTATTCAAACGTATCCCAGATGATCCTTCGAAAAAATAAATGCTAAATACTATACAAAGCAATATCACAATATCGATAAAACTTTAATAATAAATATTAATAAACTTTGACTGGTAACGAGTGGGAGCTTGAAGAATAGTGGTATCAATGAAGTATGAAATTCATGAAAAGCAAATTGAAAATAAACCTTGGACAATTGGCGAAATTCACGATAAATAGACAGAGAATATGTCGCGCCAGTCTCTCCAAGAAAAATCCTAAATAATATACAAAAAAATCCCGGATGCCTATAAACTTCAACATTAAATATTACAAAATTCAACAAGTACAGCAATTATAATAACGGTACGATAATTAACCGAAATTCTATTAATTGGACTTTCTTATTAAAACTAGAAGAGGATAAAAAAAAAATATACAACGAGCGATTTAAGAAAAGTGGTATTTCAAAAAAAAAAAGAAAAAGAAAAAAAAAGGTATGGAAGGTATCGGAGGCAAATCGAGCAAAGGATGATCGAGACAGCCCTTGGATCAGGGGAGGGAGGAGGAGGAGGAGGAGGAGGAGGAGGAGGGGAGCACGCGATGACGTCACGTCCGGCACGAGGGCAACGAGTGTGGGAACCTGCGGCAGGTGCGGTCGAGATCAGTCAGAGAGTAGTGGACCTCGTTCAAGTTTTATGGTGGGGATAACACAGCGGTGCAAAGAAGCCAGAAAGGAGGAAAAAGAAAGAGGAGAGTAACGAAACAAGAAGCGGAATCGGGAAATCAGTGGAAAGGAATCGAGGAGGGGAAATTACAATTGGAAGCTGGGAAGCGACGCGAGCGGATGTTCGTGCAAATGCATATTTTTACCGGGGATTGATGACAAGTTCTCGGACCTGGAGGGAAATTTCGCGCGTCATTCGAGGCTTTCCGCGTATCGATACGTTGCAAAAACCTACGTTACATACCGTTTAAACAAAAATACCAATTGAAAGGGTTTCGGGAAATTAAAATGAACCGTTCTAGAAGTACGATTTCTGACATTTTCATGACATTTCGACATTGTCCTATGAACAAACTGTACATAGAAAAAAGTTTCGTCTTATCGTCCCCTACAAGGTGATATTTTTTGAAATTTTGAAAAATAAGTAATTTTTAGGTAACGATGGTTTTCATTTCCACTGTTCCAAATTTAATCGAATTCAGGGAAAAAAGGTTAATCAAGTTTCGAATTTTTATTTCTGAAAGTAAACGTTATATGTAAAAACTGTAAATAGAAAAAAGTTTCGTCTGATCATCCCCTATCAGATGACATTTTTCAAAATTTTGAAAAATAAGTAATTTTTAGGTAACGATGCTTTCCATTTCTGCCGTTTCAAATTTAATCGAATTTAGGGAAAAAAGGCCATCCACTTTTAGAATTTTTATTTATGAATCTAAACGTCGTATGAACAAACTGTATATAGGAAAAAGTTTCGTCTGATCATCCCCTACAAGGTGATATTTTTTGAAATTTCGAAAAATAAGTAATTTTTAGTTAACGATGATTTTCATTTCCACCGTTCCGAATTTAATCAAATTCAGTGGAAAAAGGCCTTCCACTTGTCGAATTTTTATTTCTGAAACTCAAAGTTATATAAACAAACTGTAAATAGAAAAAAGTTTCGTCTTATCGTCCCCTATGAGGTGATATTTTTCAAAATTTTGAAAAATAAGTAATTTTTAGGTAACGATGCTTTTCATTTCCACCGTTCCGAATTTAATCAAATTCAGTGGAAAAAGGTTAATCAAGTTTCGAATTTTTATTTCTGAAACTAAACGTTATATGTAAAAACTGTAAAGAGAAAAAAGTTTCGTCTGATCATCCCCTACAAGGTGATATTTTTCAAAATTTCGACAGATCAGTAATTCCTACATAACGATGCCTTCCATTTTCACCGTTTCAAATTTAATCAAATTCAGGGAAAAAAGCCCTTCCACGTTTCGAATTTTTATTTCTTAAACTAAACGTCATATGTAAAAACTGTATATAGGAAAAAGTTTCGTCTGATCATCCCCTACAAGGTGATATTTTTCAAAATTTCGACAGATCAGTAATTTTTAGGTAACGATGCTTTCCATTTCCACCGTTCTAAACTTAATCAAATTCAGGAAAAAAAGCCCTTCTACTTTTCAAATTTTTATTTCTGAAACTAAACGTCGCATGTAAAAACTGTAAAGAGAAAAAAGTTTCGTCTGATCATCCCCTACAAGGTGATATTTTTCAAAATTTCGACAGATCAGTAATTCCTACATAACGATGCCTTTCATTTTCACCGTTTCAAATTTAATCAAATTCAGGGGAAAAAGCCCTTCTACTTTTCAAATTTTTATTTCTGAAACTAAACGTCGCACGTAAAAACTGTAAATAGAAAAAAGTTTCGTCTGATCATCCCCTACAAGGTAATATTTTTCAAAATTTCGAAAAATAAATAATTTTTAAGTAACGATGCCTTTCATTTCCACCGTTCCAAATGTAATCGAATTAAAAAGAACCGTTCTAAAATTCCGACTTCCGACATTTTCTTTCCTTCTCTTTTTGATATCGCAGCATAGGTACCTACCTATGAAATTATATCGTTCCGGATTCCATCCTTGCTCTTCAAAGCAGCCTCCTCATCGCGCCTCGTTCTAAAAAAAAAAAAAAACCAACCGAAACCGAACGATACAAAATTTTCTTCGAAACACACGTTCATTTCATTCTCAAGCCATTCGGCAATACAACCAACAAACACAGAACACCAAAAATCGTAAAATCAACGTGAAATTCATTCCTCCTCCACGTCGCGACAGAATCAAATCCTTCCAATTCGTGATTCAATTCCAGCCACAAAACTATAAAAAAAACACAGAGCTGGCTCCACATTGCAGCACATCCTTCAATTAAGAACCGTGCCGTTGCTGCGATAACAGTCAGCGTTGTTAACATAATCCTTTCTCGACAAATTCGAGAAATTACAAACGAACTTCGTTTAACGAAAAGTTCTCCTACGAAAGTCTACCGTAGAAGTCGTATTGCAAAAAGTTGCAATCGTGAGTTGAAATCGTGACGAAATCGCGAACGTACCTAAAATCACGGTCGCTCGTCCGACGAACTTCGTCGAACGCCTCACGGACGGCGTTATAGTCAATTTTAGGCCAGAGAAATATATCTCGCTCGCAATTTCGAAATGTGTCATTCTACGAAGAAAGTGGGCCGCGTCGTGTTTTCCCGAGGATCGAGGGCGCCGACGAAAAATGATGAATCGACGAGGACGTTCGGCGTTTCATTGAAAGTCCGCTCCGTGAATCATCGCGCTTCGCATCGAATGACGAGACGGCGAATAAACGGATTAATAAGTGCATAGCTGAGCTGCAATTAGGTTTCGTTACTACTCGAACGAGATGGTCATTGATAAGTACAAATTAATAATACGTGGATGACACATCGCGGCGTGTAGCTGACGAAATCATTTCAGCGTAACTGAAAAGTCCGGCACTATGCCAATACGAACGCGAAAATATATTGCGGCAGCTCGGTGCACAATTGTATCGAAGACGCGGACTGTCATAGATAATAGACAGCGTGATAGCCAGTTCGACAGTCTTCTTTTGTTACTCGTTCGGTCGTTTATCACCAACCGAGTG